ACGAGAGTGTCTGGGGGACGATCTGCTAAAGCTTGTCCGTAAATATCAGGCTTCTAGACAGAGTATGTTGTACCAAATTGACCCTCTAGGGGGCAGTGCCACTTTTGATGGGAGATGAGCATAGACTGTAGGCAAATAAGAAAAAGGGAACGGTTCGCTATGCGAAAAATGGCGCCGGTGAGACGCAAGTCCAGGAAGAACGGAATAAGGTAGAAACACATTTTTTTTCCTGATGAAAGAAGAGAGTCTACTCTTTCTTTTGGTGTGTTCGGTGTTTACATAGTCATAGCATAAACTATTCTGTGGCTCTCGAAAAATCGGTCAAAATGCACAAAAAACTCTGGCAGTATGGGACTCTCTGTTCTGAAAATGGCTGCCAGTCAATGAGTCAACAGTTAACTCTAAATCCTGTTCGATGCTCCACCTGAGAGTTTGTCGATCTCCGTCAGGGTTTCCTGGTAGAGGGCGATGAGCTGGTTACAGTGCTGGACCACGTCCTGGCGAAGTCCGGCCCAGTGGGGGGGGAGTTCACCCAGCTCGTTCAGATCCAGGATCCTGAGGCAGAACGAGAGCAGGAGAACCTCAAACCGGCCCACAGCCGAGTATAGAAACCTGAGCAGTTTCCACACCGGGGAAAAGCTTCTGCAGAGGGAGGCCCACAGGGATGCAAACAGCTTTAGAATCAACCAAAGTCTCCACCAAAAAGGGAATACCAGCCAGTTCCTGTAGGAATAAGGTACAGCAGAACCTCCACAGAGTCTAACCGGTTCTATGTTAAAATATTGGTATGTTGAGAAAACAAAAAATCGGAGTCAAGTCATGTAAGCTTTGTACAATGTATGTAACATCAATATATGTATGATCTCCTGATGAGCAAATAAATGATACACAGAAAAAAAAAAAAAAAATGAAAATATTGGTATGTTGGTTCAAATCTTCCATCAGAATACTCTGTAATTCCTGTAATTGGTTCCAAAAACCTACGATAACTCCTTAATCAATACTGCAGATAATTACACATAGCAATAAAACAAATGACTTCTAGAAGAGAGATGGATAAAGAAATAAATGATAAAGAAATTATCAATAAAAAATGTTTTTTTATTGGTACTTGTTGGTGAACGGAGGTAGAGGTGGAGACTGAAATACAGGACCAACCCTAACTCACTCTGACTTTATACAGGGACTTTAAACTAACTTACCTTATTTATTTTTATTTAATTTTAATATATTTGTTTTAAATTTATATATTTTATATGACTTTGGAAATTTACTTTGGGTTTCGAGTCGAATATTTGATTGAATTTCTTATGTTTAGGAATGATAAGTAGAAGCTCAGCTGTATTTGGGAAGAGCAAATAAATGGAAGGATAGAAGTATGAGAGAATCAGTAGTTAAAGAACTTTCTCTGAATCATCAGTAGGGATGTCCCGATCCCGGCCTATCAGAGCATGTGTTAAAGTCTAAAGTTATTTATCTACTTACTTAGCTGTCAGACTCATGTTGAACAGGGATTTACTCTGATAACAACTTAATGG